ATGGTAAGCCCCCCCCGCGTGTCTCTAGACATCGATCGCAGTATGGGCTCCAGGATCTGCCATGCCGGGTGAACATAGTGCGGCTCCTCACATGCCACTAGGCATCAAGAAGTATTTTTGCAGGTACCGGCGTCATCCTTCCTGAAGAAGATAGCCTGACCTCCTGTGCACATCTGACATCCTACAGTGACATCGATAGTATTGGGGGCGTCAACCATTATCTTGTTTTCATCGCCGTAGGCAGCAAGGCTTAGAAACATCCGTACTCTCTCCCCCTCACCTGTAAAGCCACCCCCTTCATCTATAAAAGGGGATGCGCTCCCTCCAACAAGGGAAGATCGACTTCTTCAAGCTTAGACTCACTAGATCGACATCAACACTCCCAACGGCAGGACCACCCAGTTCCGACCGCAACCCTTCCGGTCGGAGCCAACCGAACCTCTTGTACACCTCCTCCTTTCTTCTTCTCGTTTGTAACCACACTACAGACTTCGAGCACCTAGGCTCAGGAATAAAGTCACCGACCGACCCCGACTGGACGTAGGGCATGTTGCCTGAACCAGTATAAATCCTATGTCATTGAGTGCTAGGCCAACTCCGATCGCAACGTGCAGCAAAACTACAAATATTTACTAGTTGGTGACTTTCTGCACCGACACGTGTCAACCTCCGAGACAAAGTATTCACATTGTCAGGGAACAGAACCTTGAATGCCTCTTGCTTGGACTCTGAAAGCGGTTCAGCAAAGATGAACACAAACTTCTATAGAGCTGTAGAGCCGACGGGCTGTGCTGGAACTACGAGCCCCAACTTGGCCATAAGAACTTGCTGTGCGCCTGTGCCTGAAGAGTTGAGTTGGCCGCCCGAGGTTTAGCAGCGAAGCGCGTACCCCTCCTAGGTGCACTGACGCTGGGTCGGGCCCGAGGCACCCTAAGGGTGGGTCTTCCCCGAAGCACAGGAGTTTGGAGAGGCAGGCAGGCTCCCTCCCGGATCAAGCGTGGAATGTCAGCGAGAGAATGCTACTGAACATCCAGGACTCCTTGCCCAGAGGCAACGGGCGCCTAAGGGGGCAGGCATCCGCCGTGAGGTCAACCAGACCGAAGCCTGGCGGGTAGCCCTCTTCGTCCTCCGTGGATGCATCAATGCCTGAGGGGGCGTTTTGCACCAACCGCGATGGCGTGACCTTTGTCTGCCCATGCTGAGTCTACACCGGGGGGAGTTTGCTGCCCACAGAGTGGTGTGCGGAGGTGGAGTCCACAGCTCCGAGTTGGCCTGCTGGGACGGCATCTGCCACCCGCAGGTGCAGACATAGGAGACCACCATCATGGGCCTATCCTCCAGCTGGTTGGCCACCGGAGATGAAGCCAGGCGGTCAAGTGGAGGGCGCGTGACGATCCGGCTGACGGCAATCGAGGCTGCGAACTCCTCGAGCATTGGGTCGTCCATGCGTCGTGACTAGAGAGCTCGTCGTGAGGCCACGCAGTCAGCGTCAACGGGTCATAGCCAGGAAGGCATGTCCCGCTAGCCAACAAGTCACGGTTGGTCCCACCGCCATTGGAGGATTCACTAGTGCCTTCCTCTGGCCGTCTTTAGCACCTCGTGCATCTGCGCCGACGCCCTCGACCAACAGGCGACACATGCATAGGCCCACCCGACTCCACCGGGTCGACTTGGGCGGGTGGCTTGGTGCTCGAGGCACGGTCTCGGGCTAGTCATCGTTGCCTGCCATCAGTGCCGGTAGCTGCGCTGGAGCTAGCAGGAGGCACCCTCCGCTGCCGCTTGCAACGCATGTTCCTCCATCCATCCCTGCCCACCACCCTGCGTCCACCGTCGATATCAGGACACTGCCGCTTACAGTCCCGCGCCAGGTGCCGAAAACCATAGCACCGAAGATAGCGACATGGCAACCTGCAGGTGGCGACATGGTGCGACCAGGACAGGTAGTTGAGGCACTTCCCCTAGAGCACGGCGGGTAAGGGACGACGTGCGTCGGCATAGTCAGACCCAGCCACAACACCCTGGCGCTGCAGCTATTGGGCAGGGCGCTGTACCTCCTCAAGTGGCAGCACCCGCTGCCACCCCTCAACGTCTAGGGCTGAGACACGGCGGCATGGCCCCAACCGCTGGGCACCTCGGCGACCCATTGGGCTAGCGACGACGTCATGGGTGGCGTACCCTTGGCGCCCCACCGCTGCCGTCCATTGGGGCTGTAGCTGCAGCGGCAGCGTCGACCGCGCCTAGCGCCTCGACATCCTAGTGATGGCCAAAGCAGTTAGGGTAGCCGTTAGCGCCCGGCGAGCGGCCTCAAGGTACGACGAAGGGGATCATTCGCCGTCTGAGTCGTCGGAGAGGCAGATCTCGTCCTAGCGTATGGACTTGGATCTACCAGTGGAACAGGGGAAGAACGAAAGCGCATTAGGGGAGAGGGGGAAGGTGGTCGACCGGCACCGGACGCGCCGGGAGTCTGTGTGGTGGCTGCCGGAGCCGGAAAGGCGGCCGACAGGCTGCGCTGGAGGCAGGGGACAGTTGGGAGACGGGGTGTCATCATCTCCAACGCCGGCAGCCGCACAACACCGCGGAGGTGGAGGGGAGAGGGAGGGGGAGGTGGATGCTGTTCCTGAGGCCGGCGGCGCGGAGGGCGCCGCAAGTTCACCGGGTTGGGAGTGCGGCGGCAGATTGGGGGTGATGGAGCATCCTGAGGAGCCGATGCTCGCAGGGGAGGCCGGATTTGCGAGTGAGGAGGTTGCGGCGAGGGGTAGAGAGGTGGGTGAGGGGGCCACCGCCGCCGAGCTGGCAGCAGCCTGCGACGGCGACACGGGGTGGGGAGCAGCCGCCAGGGGCCCGCCTAGGGTTCGCCCATCCTATCACAACTCACAAGGGTGCGCTGGGAAGAGGGGAGGGGGATCCAGCCAGCGGGGCTGGAGTGTGAGGTCAGTGGCGGCGGATCTAGCCGCCGGCAATGTGGTCACCGTAGGGGCAGCGCGGGGGTGGGGGACAACGGCTCTCGATCTTGTCAATTCCAAAATAAAAAAAAATGTGCGTTATATAATTTTGGGAAACAAAAAGGCAACAACCATGGATAGCATGCAAATCTGTCATAATGACTTTCATCGCTCATACCCGTAGAAACCAGACAAATTTTAAAGTGAAAGTAATAAAAAAAGTCTACTTTTAACAAAAAAAAAATGCACAACCACTAATCACTTGAACTGGAAACGTATCTGACGTAGGGTTACAGTTTGCCGTCACCATTCATCTGGTTGCGTTGTGGAGGCATGGTGAGGGAGGATCGGAGAAAAACTCGCTAGCTGGGACCTGTGAATGGTCGCCATAAGTTCAGTTCAATTCATCTACCAAGCAAAGCTGTTGGATCGAGACCTGTCCATCAAACACACAATAATGCTCATGTGGACTAGGTACAGCAGGCCTCGCCCGTCTCGTAGCGAGGCAATGATGCCGCGATGGCGAATTGGCGATGGCGTCCAGTTTGTAGCCGGCAGGGCGGCCAGCCCGTTCAGACGAGACGACCTTTGGAGTCAAGTCGCGAGTGCCGACAGGTGGTCTCGCTCTCGCGCCGAACCCAGCCCCTGTCACCTCACATGGATGGTGACGATGCACGCATGTCCTCTGCCCCAATATCCAATAATTCCGCGCCGTGGCCACTGTGCAGCGCGTGCTGCATTCATCCCTGCAAGACTGGGTTATATTTCTTCTTCAGATGATTCCAGCAGTGTACCTGTGTATATGTACTAACATTCCAATTTAAACGCAGCACAAGACCGGAAGCACGCAACGAAGCATCCTTACAACCTGCAAGTCATCTTCAGGTTAAAAAAACAGTTGGTGTGTGTACCCTATTGGCAGGCTGATAATATAACAACCTGCTACAATTATTGTATGCCTCCATCTTGCTTTTCACTCGTCCCAAACGAGTCCTATCAGGGCCTTGTTTAGATTGGGGTTAGGAATCAGTATTTGGCACTGTAGCACTTTCATTTGTATTTGATAATTATTGTCCAATTATGGTCTAACTAGGCTCAAAAGATTCGTCTCGTAATTTACAATCAAACTGTGTAATTAGTTATTTTTTTTATCTACATTTAATACTTCATGCATGTGTCTAAAGATTTGATGTGATGGAGAGAGAGTGAAAAAACTTGCAATCTAAACAAGGCCCAGCTCCCTTTTGTGCAGTACTGTGTTGCACTATTATATTGTATCCCAATCTTCTCCAATGCAAAGGATTGGTATACAAATAAAGCAAACAAAAAATATTGCTACCGAAGAGGTGGTTGTTTGAGAAACCGCGTCGTTATACAGATCAGGGTTTGCATTGTGCAGTTCTATGAAACCCTGAGCTTTGCAGATCCAGGAAATCCTCTTGTCCTTCACTTGCAGATCCATAGTTTCACACCGTCGCCTCCCGTCCCATCCTCTTCCTCTGAATCTCGCTGCTGGAACCACGCCCACGCAGGCACGCACTCAGTGGTGCCAGTGCTACAAACACCTGCCCTCCCACCGCAATTGTTTTCAACAAAGCTTGCGCTTCCACCGCCCCGCGCTCCGGCATGCCGTCACTACAGTACCTGCCACTTTTCATCTCCAACAAGGTTTTCTTGTGGTCTTCAGTTTGAAGGAAAACTTGGCCGGACAGCAACAGTCCTGTCATTCTTGATCTCTCTCCTGCCGGCTGCGTACGCCGTAGGGTATGAATCACACGCTCTTCCATCTTGTTCTTGATTCGGTTTGCACTCCAAAGAAAACTGCACAGTGTAAAATAAGTGGAGTTTGTGCTCTATTCAATGAATCTGGGCACACTGAAGGAAACAAAACGTGGAGCTACATGTCGTCCACATCGATTACTAGAATCGTCACTCGTCATTGATAAATAAAAAACTCTAAATATCTTGCTTTCGTTGATTTCTTTCAGGATTGGAAATAAGACTACACAAGCACTGCCAAAGTGAGAGCGAGCAAAGGAAGGAAAGACAAGGTCATTGATGGAGGCTGCCGTGGTGACTGCATCACACGGCGCTATGGGCTCCTTGATAGCGAAGCTTGGTGATTTGCTCACAGCTGAGTACAAGCTGCTCAAAGGAGCTAAGGGACAGATCTTGTTCCTCAAAGCTGAGCTTGAGAGCATGCATGTCTTCCTCAAGAAGATCTCAGATACTGAGCAGCCTGATGAGCAAGACAAGTGTTGGGCCAAGGAGGTACGTGAGCTGTCCTATGATATTGAGGACAGTGTCAGTGAGTTCATGCTCCGTGTGGAACACAAGTCAAGCTGCAAGCCACGCGGATTCATGGGTTTCATAAATAGGAGCACAAAGTTGTTGACGACCATGAACATTCGGCATGACATTGGCAAAGAGTTTGAAGGCCTCAAGGTCCGTGTCGTCGAGGTCAGGGAGCGACGCATGAGGTACCAGCAGACTAATGATGTTGCCCCTAGGACAACCAACACAACCATTGATCTTCGGTTGTTAGCAATGTATGCAGAGGCATCTGGCCTTGTGGGAATGGATGGCCCCACAGATGAACTGATTCAGTTGATGGGTGGAGAGGATGAGCTAAAGGTGCTCTCTATAGTTGGCTTTGGAGGCCTAGGAAAAACTACGCTTGCAAATGAGATTTATTGCAAGCTTCACGGGGAGTTCCAGTGTCGAGCCTTCGTGTCTGTGTCCCAAAAACCAAACATTAGGAAGCTTCTGAGAACCATGCTATCTCAAGTTGGCTTTGTAGCTCCTATGGACACCAATATGGAAATTTGGGAAGAGAGAGAATTCATTAACGCGCTACGAAAATTCCTTCTAAAACAGAGGTATGCTTGCGTTGAAATAATTTTATGCTTAGTATGGTTTATTGTGTTTTAGTTTTTTTTAATAAGAGAACAAAGTTACAGCCTCTACCATCCGTGTTTTAGTTTGTTCTATTTAGATGTCATTCTTCTTGAGCATGCTACTATTCTGTAGTCAACAAGTCAACATGCTAATCTGTCCATATTTTTTCTTTTCACCTCGTTTCCGTAGGATTGACTAGTTGAAGTGAGTCCCTCCTGTATCCTTAGATCCAGGTTTATATGTTTCTGTAGTACAACTAATTAACACTCTAATTAATTGGATTATATGTTTAATACTTTTGCACTTTATTAGAATCATCAAAGTTGTTATACATATAAACCAAATAAACCATACAAAGTATTACATTTCTTATAAGAATTTTGATGCTGCATTTCATATCTATTCTCGAAGTACTGTTCCTCAAATTACCATTTTAGTTCTCACCAGCATCTATAGGCTAGTAAGACTATGTGTTAAGAAATAGTTACTTTAAAAAACAGAAGGCATTGCTCTCGTAACTTTTCAACCGGAACCCTTATCAACATAACCACTTTTGAAGTTTTTCGACTGAGTTCTTGTTTTTGTTGTGGTTATTCTAGCCTCTAGCTATGATGCTTTCACGTTTTCATGAACACTGTCCTAAAGGTCACTACACGCAGTATGCATTTACATGTCAGGTACCTAATTATAATTGATGACATCTGGGAGGCTCCTGCATGGGATATCATTAGATATGCTCTTCCAGAGAACATTAATGGCAGCAGAGTATTAATAACTACACGAATTGAGACTGTGGCCAGAGCTTGCTGTGCTAAGAACATTGAATGTGTTTACAAGATGAAGGCCCTTAGTGACCGAGACTCACGAAGCTTATTCTTCAAAAGAATTTTTGGTGCAGAGGAAGCTTGCCCTCCATATTTGATGGAAGTGTCTGCTCAAATTTTGAAAAAATGTGGTGGTTTGCCACTTGCAATTATCACAACATCTAGCCTAATAGCCAGCCAACCAAGCAAACTAAAGGAGCACTGGGAACATGTAAGGGACTCTCTGGGCTCCAGCTTTGAAGTGAGCCCAAGCTTGGATGGCATGAGACAAATATTAAACCTCAGCTACATAAACCTTCCTCATTATTTGAAGACTTGTATGCTATATCTCGGCGTTTATCCAGAGGACTACACAATCAATAAGAATGATTTGGTTAGACAGTGGGTAAGTGAAGGTTTTATATGTGAAGGCCGTGGGACAGATCCAGAGGATATTGCAAAGAGCTATTTTAATGAGCTTATCAATAGGAGTTTGATTCAGCCCGTAGATACAAACTACAATGGTGAGGTGATGTCTTGCAGGGTTCATGACATGATGCTTGATCTTATCCTACATAAATCCAGAGAAGACAATTTTATCACTGTAATGGATGATATACAAGATTTGACAAGACAGCCTGCAAAGATCCGTCGACTCTCACTCAGTTTGGATGGTGCAATAGATGAAAAAGTAGGAAGATCCTTCCAGCTATCCCAAACACGAATGCTAGCAAGATTTGGTACCTCTTTATATCTACCTCCTATTTTACAGTTCAAGCATCTCTGAGTTTTGACGATTGAAATTTCAAGTGGGCCCTATTCATCTGAGTTACTGGACTTGAATGGAATATGTCATTTGTTTCAACTGGGATTCTTAAAGATCAAAGCAAGTGGTCGTCATGTGGTGTTACCTAGTAAAATTGGACGTCTGCAGCAACTGAAAACATTTGAAATAGATGCTGTAGCATCTAAAGGACAATCAGAACTGCAACTACCATCAGATATTGTTCATTTGAGCCGTTTATCGCATCTGATTGTTCCAGAAGATGTAATATTTCCTAGTGGGATAAGTAACATGAAATCATTGCGTACTCTACGTTGCTTTGATTTGAGAAACTCACTAGACAATATCAAGGGTCTGAGAGAACTGACAAATCTGACAAATGTTGAAATCAGATATTCTGACTACACATCCACCAATAGAGACGAGTTTGCTGCAAAATGTAGGGAACTTGTGCACGCCCTTGGAAACATTTGCAGCCTCAAATGTCTACTTATTCATGGTAATTACCTACCTGTCACTCTCAGAAACTGCTTGGATTCATGGTGTTCAGTCCCAACTTCTTTCATTCATCTCCAGAGCTTTCATGCAAAGTACAATCACTGGTTCTCGAGGATTCCTGGGTGGATTGGCCAGCACCATAGCCTCTATGACCTGCAGCTTAGTGTTCAGGATGTGTATGGGGATGACGTTGGGATTCTCTCACAGTTGCCCTCCCTTGTCCGCCTCCACTTGCACATCCATGGAGTTCCTAAAGACAAGATCATCATCCGTGGAAGAGGATTCCCTGTTCTCAAGCATTTTACAGTTGAATGTTTCAGGATATCGTACCTGGCCTTTGAGGCAGGGGCGATGCCGAAGCTTGAAAGGCTCGAGCTATGTTTCAATGCACAGGGATGGGACAGGTATGGTGGTGTGCCTGCTGGCATCGAGTACCTATCAGGCCTCAAGGAAATCGTCGGATACATCGGGGGCCGATATGCAAAGGGATCCAATAGAAGGGCTGCAGAGTCTGCGCTCAGGGACGTGGCTGGCCTGCACCCAGGTCACCCTGTATCCAACATCAAACTGATGGACGGGGGTTATATATTTGCGCCCGTCCATCAGTTATATGAGCCCCGGGAAGAAGAGGACGGGAATAGTAGCAGTGCCTAGGCCAGGTACAGACTACAGAGTCTTTTTACCTTATGTTTGCGCCAGCTGTTATACATATATCATATTTAATTAATATTATTACTTCGGTACGTCATATTTAATTAATTAGTATTGTTTCCTAGCTACCCCGTTTTTTTTTTTGTGTATACTCTCTTACCATGTTAATAACTAACGTCAATACTAGCACGTTTAAGTTAACAATAATAATTTGATTTGACAGGCATAGCATGCATGGACTGCTGCTGCGTGGGCAGGGGACTTGGTGCGGCAAGAGCCACTCATACCCACACGGGTGGTGTCGATGTTGAAGCATCTTTGCAGTCTCTCTGCGTTCATCAGCTGGCACCACCGTCTCCAGCATATGGTTACGACATGGATCCAGCTGCAGAGCAGGCTGTTGTCTTGAGAATTATCACTACTATTTTTACTTCAGACTTGATAATATGTGTAGATGCATGCTGATTGCTGTTGGTTCTGATGAATCTGCAGCATCGCTTGTGGTAGTATGGTTTGGGGCTTTGGACTTGTTGAGTTACTATTAGGGGACTGGGGACCAGCTGCTTCTTGTCTTACTGGCTCAATTTGTTGTAATAAGTAACACGGATGCTGAACGTGCCAATCATTTCTTTATGCAAAAGTTATATATACTCTAAATTCATTAAATCCACTTGCTATTGGATTTTTGTCCAGCAGAATTTGGTCCTACTATATATGCTTGAGTTGATGACTGTTCTCTCAATCCTTGTATTGTGGGGTTTTCCATCAACAAACAACATACTGCTTTTTGAACATGTGATTTGTTTTGGAGCCGGGATGAATTAGCACAGTGTTATTCACATATACTTGCTCGAGGCTTCTGCTGAGGCTCTAACAGAGCCATTTGTTTCCATGGATCCGAAGTTCAGTTGGGCTTGTGTGTTTTTCTCTTTTCTATCTACAACAATTCACTGAACTTGTTCAAAAAAATAATACTAATAGACTGAAATTTCATCGGGCTTAACATGTTTAGTAACTAGACTAAATGAAACAAGTGTACTCTGTTTCCCGTCAATATATTTTAACTGACTGCCCTCTCGCATTTGGAATCGAATGCTCGAAGTCATCCGGCTGGATCTAGTGGGCCTGGCTTCTGCCACTTCCCTTCAGGGAAAAAAAAGATCTGGTGGGCCTGCACGTAATGCTGGCCCTGCCTGATTTTGGCCTGGGCTGTCCATTTTTCGGGCCGTGCTGGGCTTTCTAGTCATGCCGTCGTCGCTCTCGGAGGAGGAGGAGGGAGGAGTGACGCCGCCACGCACTCACCGGCCGACCACGCCACCGCTGTCTCTGGCTCCTCTCGGTCCCTGCTTGCCGCCTTCCCCGCCCCTGGCGTCGTCGGTAAGCACTCGCTTGCAGCTAGCAGCCGGGTCGGTAACTACTCCTCATACATATGTGTCCTACTGAAATTTGAGAGATTCTCTATATATCAAATATTTTTTTTTCTGTGGATGCATCAAGTCGAGCTAACTAATTAACCGAGTAACTAGCAAGAGTTGTTAGGTGCAGAGTCTAAACGTTATGTTCGTCAGTTTCTACTCGGTTACGCGTACACATGCAAGACATTTCATGGCTCGCTTACATAATCTTAATTATTAAATCCGCTCCTGCTAGCTTCGGAGCTTTATTAATATAGTGGCTTCGTTTGTACGATTACCTTGTAAATCACCATCATAAGCATTAGTTGGCATGATTAAGAGTTCTCTGCATTCGAGTGGCACAAAATGAAAATGCTGATTGTGGCCGACCAGACAGCACGATCGACATTGCACTTTACGAATACCAATACAATTGATTGATGTTCACATCGACCTGGCAGTTTTGTTTATGGTTGCATTGGTATTGCGTAAAGCGCGTCCCCCTGTTCTACATTAGTGGAACTTTAGGATTAGAATATAGCATTGGTCAGCCATGAAAAGATGTTGGAAAGAAAAGAAGGGTCAGATTCTGTGTGTGTGATGACTGATGACCATATCAATGCTAATGCGAGTAATATCTTTGTGCATTCCAACTCATCTTCACACACTCTCTTCCTCCTCTCATTCTTCCTGTCCTTGTCCACTGTTCCATGCTCTAACATGATCAACCAAAAAAATTGGTTCCACCACGACCACAAATCTACTGGGCGCTGCCTTGCTGGAGCAAGCCACCGTTACGTTGCTGCACTGTTGGGAGGCTGTGCCATAAAGCCTGCCACCTTGCTAGAAAATCAAACCAATAAAGTTGATATTCATATAGACCTCCATCTTTGTTTATGTTTATATCAGTAATAGTGTGGAGAGACCATCCCCTATAATACGGACCTCCATCTTATTTTTTTTCTCGAATACGCAAAATATTTGTGTATCATTGTATTAAGAAGAAGATTTTAAACATACAGACAACGCGTCTCTATCGAACGCCGAAGGAGGTCGACCTAAAAACAGTCGTAGCTGGACCATCCTAGCGAAAGGCCTCTAGTTTCGATGTTACATAAATGGAAAACAACCAAATCCGATGCAGCGGTGCGACCTAGAAGGTGGCATTGCGTCTTCGCAGCTGCCAGGACGAGCCTTTTCCACCGCCCGGGAAGAGTGTGTCCTGCGTGTAAGGACCGTGACGCCTAAGAGGGTGGTGAATTAGGCAACTTAAAATTCTACTTCTAATTATGGCCTCTAATTCCACCTAGTCAAAACCTATGCAAGAAAGTAATCTATCTAAATGTGCAACTAAGGTTTTGCTAGGTGTGTTGCTATCTCTACTGCAAAAGAGTTATGCAACCTAGGTTCCAACCTTATCAACTAGCATATCAACTAAGTTAGGAATAGTAAAGCACATAACCAAGATTACAATAAAAATGCAGAAGCTAAAGATAAGGTAGAGATGCAAACTCCCGTTAATGACTCCAGTATTTTTACCGAGGTATCGAGAAGCACGCAAGCTTCTCGTTAATCCCCGTTGGAGCCCCTCGCAAGGAATCCCTCACAAGGGCCAAGCTCCCAGTCGAGTAACTCTGTGGATAGCCCCGGACCTTCCCCACGCGCAAGTGGGTCTCTGGTGTACCTCTCTCGGACCGCTCCCCGCCGTCTTCACTATCAAGCTTTCGGCCGAAACACCGCGGGCCTTGTTCCCTCCATACATGGTGGCGGCCACACCACAAACACGGTTGGTATGGTCTCGCAAGACTTACAAGCCCCGCCGAGTACAAGCATGGTGCGCGTAAGCACCTTTGGTCAAGAGGTATGCAAACCTCACTAGCAACTAGACCTAAGCCTAGAGCAAGCGCATATGAGTGTGGTCTAACTAACCTAAGTACTTCGCAAAGCACCTACGCTAATCACCGGGGATCAGACACTGCATATCTGCTGTTCTATGTTGATGATATTGTTCTAACCGCCTCCTCAGCTGGGTTTCTTCAACATATTATTGCAGCCCTTCAGCGTGAGTTTGCTATGACCGACATGGGATAGCTCCATCACTTCATTGGTGTCTCCGTCGCCCGCTGCGATGATGGCCTTTTGCTCTCTCAACGGCAGTATACTCTGGACATCTTGGAACGCGTCGGGGTGAGTGCTTGCAAGCCTTGCAGCACTCCCATCGACCTGCACTCCAAGTTGTCCGCCGACGGTCCTCCAGTTGCTGACTCTACTCAGTATCGCAGTTTGGCTGGTGCACTACAGTATCTGACTTTCACTCGTCCGGATATTGCCTATGTCGTCCAGTAGATATGTCTCTACATGCATGATCCACGCGAGCCGCACCTTGCTACTCTCAAGCAGATACTACGGTACTTACAGGGTACTCTTTTCCTTGGCTTGACTCTGCATCGCTCTCCGCCTACAGAGCTTGTTGTTTACACTGATGCGGACTGGGCCGGCTCCCTCGACACTCGTCGTTTGACCTCTGGCTATGCGGTGTTCCTCGATGACAATCTGGTGTCCTGGTCTTCCAAGCATCAGCACATAGTCTCCCGGTCTAGCGCAAAGGCCGAGTATCAAGCCGTGGCCAATGGTGTCGCTGAAGCTACATGACTTCATCAGTTACTTGCCGAGCTTCGCCACCATCTTTGTCGTGCCACCCTGGTTTATTGCCACAACGTCAATGCTGTCTACCTCTCCACCAATTTGGTCCAGCATCAGCGCACGACGCACATTGAGATTGATCTCCACTTTGTTCGGGAGCGTGTCGCCCTCAGTCATGTTCGAGTTCTCCATATCCCCACGACATCCTAGTACGCCGATATCTTCACCAAGGGTCTCCCAACATCTGTATTTCAAGAGTTTCGATCCAATCTTAACGTTCACCGTGCTCCCGATAAGACTGCGGGGGAGTATTAGCATGATGTAAATATAGCAATGGTCGCCCTGTACTTGTGCGCTTGTGTAGTTGGCTTGCATGCTACCCCGACTGCCTATATATGTACCCATACACAATATGGAATACAACAACTCATTCCAATCACTCTTTCAAAAACAGCTCCAGTGAGCGGTATTCCTAGGACTCCGCACATGAAGCAGTTGTGTGGGAGAGCGGTTGGCTGATATGGAGCTCCCAGAGCTGTTTCAGAAGCTATACCAAGCGCTCACTTAGTAGCAAGAGTCATGAACATTAGCTTACAAAGTTGGATGAGATAGGTTCCTTTGGCTCCTTAAAAATAGTGTCTGAGTTCACAATAAATTTCATTTATAAACTCCTTGTGAATACATGCATTAAAGTCTCACATGATATTTGGCGTTTAAGTATACCACTGAAAATTACAAATTTTCTATGGTTCGTCAAGAGGGGGTGATTTTAACTATACATAATTTATTAATTAAAGAGGAACTAGAATAGGAACAAATCTTGTGTCTCTTGTAGTAGGGATGAAACTATTCAACACCTCTTATTTGAGTGCCTGTATGCTCAGTTCCTATGGCGAAGGATACATCTTGTTTTGGGTCTCAAATACCCTTTGAATGTGATGGATATCTTTCATGATTGGCACAAACAAACGGGTAGATCAAACAAGACATTGTTATTGACAGGTGGTCCAGTCATTCGTTGGACATCATGGCTAGTGATATTTGAGTGGGTTTGATTAAATGTGTTGCTCAACATATGTAAAATTGGTCTCATTGTCTTGGTTAAAGGAGATGAAGTCAAATTAATTCACCTTTATCTAAAAAAGAATGGCTTTCAAGAACTTTCCCAAATTAACTATATATCCTAAGGTAAGTTTGTTGCATTCATGCTAGGTGCATCTTCTGCTTTATGAGTGCCAAAATGTTTTAGATGCATTTAGTCATCAACTAATGTTCCACAGGAATTTTGTACGTTTTTCTAGAACCTATTACTATTTTTCCTATAGGAAAATCTAATTTTTTGATGCTCCAAAATTATTTTTCATGAGCTCTAAATACTTTACTTGGGTTTGTGATGTTCCAAAATGTGTCCAAGATTTTTTCCCTGGATTTTTGGAGGTTTGGAATAACTTTTTTTTTGTCTTAAACACTACTGGGCTTTTATGAAAAAAATTTAACAAAAAATATTCTAAAAATAATAAAACCTAAATCTATTATAACTCAGCCGCCCAAACCTACATAGCTACTACAGATTTCCAATCACTGCCGGTTCAAAAAGCCCATCAGTGTCGGTTTTTTGAACCGACACAATCATATTGGCAGTGATGAGGGGGCTCATCAGTACCGGTTTTAGAAGCGGCAGTGATTTGGTTTCCAGAAAACCTAAAAAAACGAATCAAAAATAGGCAATTTTTTATACTAGGAGGGACCCCACTGGATAGCCACACGTCACGCAATTTTTCGCGCGAAAAACGAGAGCTTCGTGGCCACCTGCGCTCGAATCCCCAACCTTCTGTATCGTGTGTTCATCCCCTAACCACTCCATATGTAAGACGTTTGTGTCCATATGGGATATTTGTTCTCCCCATTTTATGCCACTCTAGTTTGAGATGAATATTTAGAATCCTAAATGAATTTAAATAAAAAAGTTATCAACTACAAAATTTTATAACTTTTTGAGATCTACAACTTTGATTTTGGTCATTTCTCCATCCGAGGTCATTCGAAGAATTTGAATTTCAAATGTGAGAAAATTCAATCATAATTTTTCTTGGATAGATAATTTCAAATGAAAAAGTTGTCAACTACGAAGTTGCACAACTTTTGTATTGAGCGTTTCTCCATCCGAGGTTGTTTGAAAATTTTGAATTTTGAATTTGAGTAAACAAACGTAATTTTCATTAGATAGATGATTTAAAATAAAAAGTTGTCAACTGCAAAGTTGTATAACGTTTCGAGATATACAACTTGATGTTTGGAATTAGTCAAACATAAACGTTTAGAGCTTGCAGAAAGGTTCAGAGCCCATGAACTGTGAGTCAAACAAGCACAAAACTTAACCATCATTAGCCCAATTCCTTAAATAAAAATGTCAAAAGCACAAACTTGATGTTTGGTTCAACTTTCTCATGCTAACAGGTGGGATAGTGGCTGATGAGGAGAATTCATTTTGATCTAACCGACTGCAATTATGATTCTCAGTTTCCCACATGAACAATAAGTTTCTGTTAGATGCAATATTAATGACCTTTCTTGCTGATAGAAATAGAATGCCCATAAGCTAAAAAACTGAACTCTAATTTTAACAAAGCAGCATCTGATGAGAAATGGTTGGAGAACTTTGCTTTGGGAGCTTGATAACAGGTAAGTTATTTACAGAAAAATGTGGTTTTGTTATACCTAAGCTGAAAGTCGAAAGAGCAAGAAGCATTGAGCAGTTCAACATCAGTTTTAATTACAAACATCTCACGACTGCAAACTAAAAGGTGCACTTGCTTGAAGACGGTTAGATCAAATCTCCAGAAATCACACCACCCAATCCCCCTGCTCCCCATGCCCTCACTATGGACAAAAATTAGAGGTGCTACATAGCAGTTAGCTCATATGTTTCTCATTCGTTCCAGAAAAAAAAATATGTTACTTTTGTATTGAAAACAAAATCAAATATTTGCCAGTAATCAAATATATATGTTACTTTTGTATTGAAAATAAAAAATTAGAGGTGCTGTTAGAGTACGTCAGGGCCTATTAGGCCTGGGTTGGCTGTATAGCCCATTAGTGTTAAGGTTAATTAGAGATAAGGGTCGCTTACTTAAGGGTCAAGTAAGTCTTGCTTGGGAGTCAAGTAAACCTCTCTATATAAGGAGAGAAGATGTATCAATCTAATCAAGCAAGAATTAAGAAAGAAATCCATTCCCTCTTGCTCTGCCGTGGGCAAGGCCCCCGGCCGGCCTCCAGCCTCGTCCTCACAGCCCTAGCAGTGAACAGTACCCGTGGTACTGTAGCGCGCGGGTACTGTAGCCCACCCGCCACCGCCTTTCCCACAACTCTCTCCCTCTAATCCTAGCAACCACATAACAATCTGGTATCAGAGATCTCTGGTTCGATCATGTCCAGCCCTCTACCGAGTTCTTCCCACCCGCCGCCGCCGCACACCCACCCGTCGCCACCCGCGTCTTCGTGCTATTCCCACAAAGAAAGCGCTTGGCGTCCTCGAGGCGATTATTGCCTCTGCCTTTGGCGCCGTTCGCCCTCGTCCTCACCCCGGAGCAGATGACGGCCACAATCCTGGAATTAGGGCAGGCCGTGGCGGACATCAAGGCCTTCCTCGCCTCGCACTAGGCTGGCCAGGCTATGGGACGACAGTCGTCTCCATAACCGACGCCCAGCAGATCCCAGTCACGGGCGAGAAGTTGCAGCAGATCGAGCAGCCGATGGACATCGCGATGACGTCGGCGGGGAAGATGCTTACCCGCCAGGTGTCGGCTGCGGTGTGGTTGCAGGCTGCTACGCGCGGCCTCCTAGCACGTCAGCGGGTGCGGGAGATGCGCGATCTGCAGCTGATTCAGCCCTGCACTCCTTCGTAGCTCCTCCAAGTTGCGCTTCTCTGTGCGGAGGACCTCGATCTCGTCCGCTGCGTCGGGGATCTCGGGCATGCGGTTTCCCCCGCGGGCGGAGGGCATGCTATTATCCCTGCGGGCGGCGGTTGGGGAGGCGCGTCCCTCCACCTCATTCTCCATCGAAAGCCCTCCGCTCTTCTATGTGCGGTGCAAACCAGCAGCCGTCTGGCGGGGAGAAGGCGTGGGTCACCAGCGAGAGCGCACCGCGTAGTGCCGTCGCATGGTCGCTGTTGCGGCCACTTCCAGGTGGCCATACACATGTACCCCTTTCGTCTAGATGGTGTCCATGGGATCCAGGAGGCTGTACACATGCAGGTTTAGCGTGCGGATGGTGTCCACCTTATGTTCAGGAGTCCAAATAAAGAGTCCCAGTCCATTTCAGGTTGAAAATAATAAAATAAGCTAAAATGTAAAAATGCTTGTTTGTAGGTGTTAGGAGTCGAGTCAGTTGGTTAGGTTGCAGCTCGAGGGCGAGCTGCATGTCCAGGTGGGGTGTAGTGTTAGAGTACGTCAGGGGCCTATTGGGCCTGGGTTGGCTGTATAGCCCATTAGTGTTAAGGTTAATTAGAGATAAGAATCGCTTACTTAAGGGTCAAGTAAGCCTTGCTTGGGAGTCAAGTAAACCTCTCTATAATGAGAGAAGATGTATCGATCTAATCAAGCAAGAATTAAGAAGGAAAATCCCTTCCCTCTTGCTCGGCCGTGGGCAAGGCCCCCGGTCGGCCTCCAGCCTCCCTCGCAGCCCTAGCCGTCACAAGTATGGACATGAACAGTACCCGCTTCACTGTAGCACCCACGGGTACTGTAGCCCGACCGTCGCCGCCTCTCCCTCTCAATCCTAGCAGCCACATAACATGTGCACTCTTTTTAACTATATAGATGCTTTCATCCTACCAAGTACCAACTCATGAGGAAAGACTAAAAGAATGTCCTTTTAAGTAAGGAATCATAGAAACTACACTATAAACTCAGTAAAAAGAAGCTAACATGGAAATTTTCTATAAAGAAACTGAGCTAGTTAGGCACGAATCGTGAGTCTGGCCTTTGGATCTTTGCCAGGTAGCCACAAGTAGAGTTTCACAAACTAACAAACAATGAAAAAAGTGAGTCTAACAGTATGATAATATTGTCTCACAGAAACACATGATGCAATTTTGTGAAGTGAGCTCCTTCCATTCTGGCATATGTTCTAGTCTGACAGTACTGAAAGAACGAGTAGGAGTTTCAGGTTCAGCCACATCAAGTCCAGAGTACAGAGACTAAAAATTTTCAGATCTTCACCACTTATTTGATCATAGTAGATATCAGATGAACTGAAAGAGATATACAAGCATAAGCTGAAACACTGCCTAGAATCTTCCCTTCAGCTATTGCAAGACTGAACACCAATCAAATTGGCAGATTCCTGACTGCAGGAAGACAAGCAAAACACCAACTACAGAATTCTCAAACGGACCATACTAACAGTAGATGAATGAATAGGACACATGTTTTTACAAGACCTAGACCCTACTGTAGTGTTATATCAGTAGCCGCAATACTCATTAGAGATTGACAAGCCAAACCATGTAACCTTAATCACAACAATTTATGCAGAGTTCATTTATGCAGCTAATAAAAGAACATACTAGTGTAATGCACCAGTTCATTCAGTAAAGGGATTCCAGCTCTCAGTTCAGCAGAAGTGTAAATGTGAGGGAGACGAGGTGGGGAGGCAACAAGGGACTAGCACCGCACCTGCAAGAAATCAGTCCCAAGATGGATGGGGGAGACATCAACAGATGGAAGAAGAGGGAAATCGAGGAAGGAAGGTGGGTTTACCGAGTGGGAACGGGCGGGGACACCGGAGGTGCTGCCGGAGCGGATGGCCAGGGACACCGGAATGGGGACCCTCGTAAGTCGTAACAGCTAGCCTTATGCTCTTGCTGTTCCTCCCCTTCGTTTTCTTCACTGCAGGTGTAGGGGACGGCTCCACCACGGAGGTCTCGTCTCGCTGCTCCGCTCCTCATCAGCGGCGGAGGGGCTGGCTCCGGCTCCGCATCCTCAGAGAGAGGATACCAGCGGCGGAGGGGATGCCTCGCTTTGAGTGAGGTGGTCCAAATGTGCACAAGGGATTGATAAATGATGTTATCCCCCCAGTATTTGGCAGAACTCCTCGAGCCAACATGTCATCAAACATGTGGAGCACATCAGCTACCCTGCGACCTTTCAGAAAGGCTTTAATCATCTTGGAGTATGTGTCGATATTTGGGGTGCAATTCTTTTCCAACATGTCCTTGTAATCCTTGATACACCTGTCCAAATCCCCAACCGAAAGAAAATTTAAAATAAGTGCATCGTAGGCCATTGTAGTTGGACCATGTCTCTCATGTACCATATCCTCAGACACCCTGAGTGCATCCTCAATCCGCCCTGCTCTACCCAGTCCCTCAATTAGATGGCAGTGCGAAACCTCATCTGGAACCAGCCCATCCTCTTCCATCTTTGTCCAAACCTCCTGCAATTTATCACCACTCCCAAACCTCGCCCAGCCACCCATGGCATCATTGTACACATGTTTATCAAGACCAAGCAGCTCCTTTTGAGCAGCATGCAAGAGCGAGCTAGCTATACCTACACGTGACCTCCAGAAAAGGCACCTGATGAGGACGTACAGTAAGTGCCTCCTTTCTGTGGAAATCTTTCCCAATTCCAAATCCAAATTGGTCGGTACTGAGCACCTCAACAGCCTTACTGACATGCCTGACTGCAACTAGGCAGAGTTTGAACTGTGTGCCATACACCACCGTAGGTGCCAGTACCCATGCCCATCCTTGAGGCCATCCCACCTGTTATGCAGTAGCAGATATTTGGAATTAGTCAAACATAAAGGTTTAGAGCTTGCAGGAAAGGTTCAGAGCCCATGAATTGTGAGTCAAACAAGCACAAAACTGGGTTGTCACGTTTAAGCTTTTCGCCGGTTTTCTTTTTATAAACTGTGCGATGTGAGATTTTTAGGCCTGGTTTCCCTTATAAACTGGGTCAATTCTATTTCTTCTTAATTGAAAGGCACAGCTCCTACGATTGTGCTAAAAAAAACAAGCCCAAAACTTAACCATGCTAACTTGATGTTCGGTTCAGCTTTCTCATGCTAACAGGTGGGATATTGGCTGATGAGGAGAATTCATTATGATCTAACCAACGGCAAATCTCCAGAAATCACACCACCCAATTCCCCTGCTCCCCACACCCTCACTATGGACAAAAATTAGAGATGCTACATAGCAGTTAGCAAATATGTTTCTCATTCATTCCAGAAAACAAAAATATGTTACTTTTGTAAATGTGAGGGAGACGAGGTGGGGAGGCAACAAGGGACTATAGCACCTGCAAGAAATCAGTCCCGAGATGGATGGGGGAGACATCATCAGGTCGAAGAAGAGGGAACTCGAGGAAGGAAGGTGGGTTTACCGAGTGGGAACGGGCTGGGGCACCGGAGGTGCTGCCGGAGCGGATGGCCAGGGACTCCGGAATGGGGACCCTCGTAAGTCGTAACAGCTAGCCTTATGCTCTTGCTGTTCCTCCCCCTTCGTTTTCTTCACTGCAGGTGTAGGGGACGGCTCCACCACAGAGGTCACGTCTCGCTGCTCCGCTCCTCACCGGCGGCGGATGGGCTGGCTCCGGCTCCTCATCCTCAGAGAGAGGATACCGGCGGCGGAGGGGATGAGTTTCGTTTCCTGGGGAGCGGAGCCCGGTCTCTCCTTGGGCCGTTTTGGGCCTGGAAGGCCCAGCATTGTTATTCATTCTTTTCTTATTGTATTTCAGCATTGTCATATCTAGCTAGGATATTTTTTTTTTTTGAAACAAAAGGCAGGAGCTCTGTCGCTCAACTAAGCCGAAAGAATATTATGTACAAGAAGGTTAACCGGACGAGATGCCAGAAAGGCACCCGAGGGGCTAACCACCACACGCGATGCAGCTGAGCACAAACACGACACACTGCCATGGGTCATCGTGGCAGAGCATGGAAGCCAAGCTGCCAGCAGCTCCGACTTCCCATGTCAGGCCACCCACTAGTCACCCCCAACGGGTCAGAAGCTAACGGCCACCACCGGTCATCGTTGCCAAGCTCAAACACCGAAGAGCAGCTCCGACTTCCAAATGCAAACCATCGCCCCGCATCGAAACTGCGAGAATAATCCAAATGCGACGCCTTCAGGAAGGGAGTGACGCTAATGGCGTCGTCGTCCCACGTCCAAAGTGGACTGAGTTTTCACCCTTGGAAGACATGCTAGTGGGGAAATACGACGCCCCCAACAGGGAAGCGGCGCCCAACGGCGGCGACGTCGCCAAGGCTTTCGCCCAAGAACCCTCTAGCACAATCGCCGGGTCGCGAAGCCGGACTCGTGCCAGCTTTCACCGCCATCGCCGTTGTCCCGGCGCCCCACGGAAGCCCCTTAAGAGGGCCATCGACGCGCCGGTTGCACGCAGCAGTCGCACAGCTGCGTCGGCCGCCACCCCCTCTGACCGGGACACGCAGAGCCGGACCTGACTCTGCCGCTCGCGTCACACCGCCGCACGCCGAGGCCGCATTTGACCAACATCGTCGGCTCTGGCACCTGCCGATGTCGCTGCCGTCATCACCGCCAGTGTGCCCCACCATGTCGGGCACCGAACCATGTCCTGGGGCCGCCGAATCCGGACGCCAGGCCCCGAATCCGGCGCCCCCTGCCGACGCCGACGCCTCCGTCTTGATCATAGCCGCAGACACCGTCATGGGCCGGCCCGTCGCCTTGGTCGCCAGACCGGCCTCCGCGGGCAGGCTGGCCGGCAAAGGTCGCTGCCTTGGGCACAGCCAGCCCCTGAGCCGTAGTAGCCAAGGCCATGAGGGGAGGGACGACAGAGAAGAAAGCACCGCCCCCAGCGCATGCATGGGCCCCGACCACCGCCGCCGCCGGCCGCCAAGACAGATCCGGCAGCCTGGGGTCCGGATCTGGCCCCCCAGGCACCGGATCTGGCCGACTGGGCCCCGGACCGACGGCCTCAGCCAGCGCCGCCGCCGCCATCAAGAGAGGAGAAGGGGAACACGCAGAGAAGAGGAAGACCTCGCCGCCATCCCCTGCGCCTGCACGGACACCAGCCGGCGCTGTAGCAGCCGCGGCAGCCACCTCGTCAACCTCCACGCCAGTCGCGCAGGGCCGAACCACCGGCCTGCTGCAGGTGCGCCACCAACACGAGGAGGGAGAGCCCCGCCGCCACCATCACAGCCGCCCGGGCGGCCATGCCGGCAGCCAGCTCTGGCGGAGGCGCGGCGGGCGAGGAGGAGAGGGGTGAGAGGGAGGCGGCGCGGCAGGGGCCGCCCGAGTCGCCCCGCGTGGGGGAGCGACGCGGGCGTCAGTGGGGGGTCCTCCTAGGATATATATAAACATGCCAAGCTGGTGTAAAAAAAAGATGCCAAGCCATCCAAAGTTGCTCCTTGCATGCATATGCATGTAAAATAGATTGCCTTGCCCCCACACAAATTAAAGGCAGCCACCCTTGCCAATGACACTGACAATACGTACACGGCCACCCAACCCAACAACTAGTATATATACATACTTTGATCCTATGCATGCATGCATGGTACATACACTGATCCAAATTAAGACAGAGTGCTGACTTGGGAAATACGTATTATACAAATATAACTCAAGAGGAAGTGTTGCCTTGTTCAACCATTGGTGTAGGCATATTATACAAATGCACTGTCAAGCAAGATAGCGCAGCCAAAGTGAAGCCATAGATCTTTTGAGCCTTCTTCTTCTGGCGTCGAACCTGTTCCAACTCCACCGTGCGCTGCCTTCCAAAAGTAGTAAAACAGAAAAGATCGAGGTAAGAAATAAAATGCATGCATACGTCTGAAATTATGTGACGAGTGAATGGAATCAGGTAAAGAATACTCACTTGGCAACCTTTTGTAATGTTTTCCAGCTCTACCAACAGATATTCCAGTTCAAGCACATATACAGCAGCTTCCTGTTGAATTCTCTTTATGTTGCTCAGCAGTTTAGCCTACACAGTTTAAGGAAGAATATATAATGAATTAGGTAAGACAAATAAGCTTGGCGGGCAGCATCAATAAAATAAAGCTATCATAACTACTGCTGTTATTTCGTACTAGTTAATATCTGTCATATATGAACCAAAAGCCACCTTGATGCCATGCTTTCCCTTAAAATTTAGCACTGACAGTAAGGGCAGGCCTGTTGGCCCATAGAATCACCGGCACAGGTGAGTGAACCACTCACCGGTCTTGCCAAGCACCCGCTAGTGTTGCCGAGCACCCACTAGTCGTGCCGACCACGAACAAGCGTTGTCCGTCCCCACACACTATGGCTAGAGCTTGAAGAAGAAGGGAGAACAGAGCATGCACACACAGTACAAGACACCAGCGTTGGCCGAAGCCCTATCTGGGAGATAGCAAATCTGAACTCTCTTTACTGAGTTTTCGTGGTAGTCTATTTATACAACTCTATCCTTCTAGTCCCAGTACAGCTGCCCTGCTGCAACAGTGACTAGATAACATACAGGGCTGACTCTGCGCCGGCCTCTGCATGTGGCTACAGTGTTGCAGGTGAGCCGTGCGGCGCCTGCACCTGCAGTGGCTACAGTATCACAGCAGGGGGCCTTTCGGCGCCGCCTTCCCTTGCTGTGTTCACACAAGGTAGCAGTAGATTATCTAACAATCTTTCCCTAATCCTACTGCTAACCCTTGTACCCCCTCCATGCCGATCATCTCCTTCAGCTCCGTGAGTCGAAGACGTCCGAGCGGCTTGGTGAGGACGTCCGCGAGTTGCCGACCAGTTTCGACGAACTCGATGACGATCTGCCCTCCATCGACACAGTCCCTGAGAAAGTGGAACTTCACGTCAATGTGTTTACTCCGGTTGTGCAGAACCGGATTCTTCGCGAGGGCGATGGCGGGCTGGTTGTCCACCATCAGTGCTGGTGGGTGAGCTTCCACACCGGTCAGCTCGCCCAGCAGCCGGCGTAGCCACACAACTTGGCACGCCACTGTGACCGCCGCTACGTACTCTGCCTCGCACGTAGATAGCGCCACCACCCTCTGTCTCAGCGACAGCCATAAAATTGGGGCCGACCCGAGGAAGACGAGCACGCTAGAGGTGCTCCATCGTCCGTCGATGTCCCTCGCCATGTCTGCATCGCTGAACACTGTAAGTTGTAACCTACTCTCGCCGGTCTTTGGGAAGATGATCCCATGATCTACCGTCCCCTTGACATAGCGCAGTAGCCGCTTCACCGTAGCCCAGTGGTCCTGTCGGGTTCATAAACCCGGGGTCCCTTGCGGACCAGCTTCCCCACAAAGGCTCGGCTCAAGCAGACAGCGCGCAACTCATAGGCCGGCCCAAGAGTCTAAAACGAATAGGCCAGAAGGGCGATCCAGTCACCGATCGGAAGGTCTGGCCAAGGAGGAGCAGTGCCCGCTTGTCGACTCCGGCCCACCTCTCTGACCGGAGCGCTCACTTCGGTCTCCAGCCGCCTCCAGACGGTCTCTCCGACCGAAAGGCTAGCAAAAGCACTACCTCCGACTCCGACCCCACGTCTCCGGTTGGGGTATGCAAAGCCCCTGCTCGCTGCTCTTCTCCGACTGGCGCAACCAGAGCCAGCTGGGACCAACCGACCGGGGACGCCCGCTCGGAAGGGACCAGGGAACAAACGGAGTAAGCAAGGCAAGGCGCACAAGTCAAACCACGATACCAGGGATCGTACTCTGTACACTTGTAGGAACAGTACTCTGCAACCGCCCTGACACAAACAGTGTTGTAGGTGCCGACATTTTCCTACAGTATTGTGGGCGCCATTAACTCCCATACGGTAAGGCCCCCCACATGCCTCTGGGCATCGACAGTGTTGCGGGCGCCGACATTTACCATACCAGGAGAACATGGTAAAAGCCCTCACATGCCTCCAGGCATCAGCAGTATTGCAGGTACCAACATCTGCCATATCGACATTTGACTTGGGAAATACGTATTATACACTATATGGAGGCATGCGCCGCTGAGACGGTTGTCCCCTCCTTCCTCAGTTGGTCGGAATCTCCGATCACCTTCGATCAGAGGGACCATCCATCCCATGTCATGAGACCAGGACGCTACCCGCTCATCATCGATCCCATCGTCCACAAGAAGTGCCTCACCAAGGTACTGATGGACGGAGGCAGCAGCCTCAACATCCTCTACATCGACACCCTCGACGCCATGCGCATCCCCCGATCAGAGCTCCGCCTGGCGGGCTCTCCCTTCCACGGGGTGATCCCGGGAGCACAGGCATACCCGCTCGGGCTGATCGACCTGCCCGTCACATTCGGCAACTGAGCCAACTTCCACTCGGAGGTCTTCACCTTCGAAGTGGTGGACTTTCCAGGGTCCTACCATGCCATCTTGGGGCGGCCATGTTACACCAAATTCATGGCAATCCCCAACTACACATACCTCAAGCTGAAGATGCCAGGACCGAACGGCGTCATCACCATAAGCAGCGCCTTCTCGCACGCCTTCACATGCGACCGCGAGCACTACGAGCTCGCCACTGTGGTCGTCAACTCGTCCGAACTCCCGCGGCTTGGGGAATTGTCGATCCCGGCAGTCCCAGACTACAACAAACCAACTTCCTCAGTGGCCTTCCGTCCGCTCGAGGAAACCAACGCGGTGGGGGTCGACCCCACCGACCCGGCCAAGACGATGCGGATCAGGACCCAGCTTCCGGCCAAATAGGAATGCGAGCTCAT